CTGCGATATTGCATTCAGATATTTGTTTGTAAATTTTTGTTCAGTGTATTTAAGCAACATACATTCGCTACAAATAAATAGATATTGAGTAAAAGTGGTGGTTTTTGGATTTGGAAGTGGCTAGCTGTTAGCTGTATCTGTAGCTTGAATTTATTTTTATTATAACCCCAAATATATCTTATTTTTTAAATTTACACTGTTTTACCTATTATTATAACACACAATTAATTTAGATATTCATTTTATACATACATATATATATTATATATTCACACTGGTTCAATATTCCCTGGTATATTTGTAATAATATTTTAATTCGCGCTGATTTTTAAAAAATTTTTTATTAATATTTGTGACATATACAATTCAAGGAAATTTGGAAAAATCAATTTTAAACGATAAGGTCTTAAACATTTGACAAAAATTTGGATTTCGCCAACAAGGTAACGAGATAAAATTACCCTTTTGGCAAAATATAAAATGCATGTTTAGCCCTATTCGGTATTAATATTAAAATGAATGCTACGCGTTCATATCACGAACTGTTGCATCTTTTGAAGCTAACATTGTTGAGTTTTAGGAATTACATGTACCTCTAATACTTAATAAATGCTGTAGTTTTTGCATCTTTTTGGCTCACTTTATGACGAGTTTCTTACCACCTTCTGGCAATTTTTGAAGCCAAATGCTAGTATTTAAAACTTACAAGACTAAAAAATGAAATTTTTTACCCTTATTGTACTTTTCAATGTTATTGAGTTTTACGCCCTACTCTGTGCACATTATTGAGCCAATCGACCTGATTGCTATCTCTGAACTATAGCGTGCAATGCACCTGTGACAGAGTTGTGAGAATAAGTAGGTTTATATAAGAAGTATTTAGTATGGCTGTAAATAATTGACACGAGTGAAATGAATCGAATAATCAGATTAATTATTATAAAATCCAACCAGTGAAATAAATTTATTATTTACGCTGTAACAATCAGGACTGGATTGCGTGTTTTCATTCAGGGTTTTTCTGGGTTTGTCAATCGACATCTCATTGAATATAAGATTCTTTTCAGACCTGACAAAGCTAATAATATTTTATTAGATGTTCAGGTAGACCAGCTAGGCATCTTAATCTCGGACTGATACTGGGAATTTCAAATTGAATTGGCGGAATCATATTTTAAAACGATCTTATAATGCACTGGTCAACTTACAAAGATTTGATCATATATAGAACTTTGAAAAAATTACATACATTTGTAAAAAAAAAATGGAAAATATATCAACATATTAAAACGCATTTGTCGACAATCCTGAAGAAGCTAAATAAAGATAAATTAAAATGCATATTAATATGTTTGAGTAATGGACTATGGTCACGATTAATGTGCTGGAGATTAAGTTTTTATCTACGACTTTTGAACCATTGTAGTCTCTGACAATATATGATTATAATTCTACTATCAACTACAAGTTATTTTACAAACACTCTTTATTTTTAATTCAACGTAAAACTAGCAATCACTCACATGCCGGTAAAATATGTCTATAGTCAACGAAGCTAATCAGAAGTAAATGGTTTTTAATCATATAACACATTGCACTTCATTTTAAAGTCTTAACAGATCGTGATTTGGTATTTAAAAAATCTGTTACGATATCAGAACATTTTAATTTTACAAAGTAGCAGAGTTATATGCGTTGTAACATTAAATGAAACATGGACATTTTTTAAAAGTTAAAAGCTATAATGACGAGGGGTAAAGCAGGTATTGTTCTGTTGACACGATGATCATCTATTAAATGAATTTCTATTTGAGATAGTGAAATATCATCAGTTAAATTGAAATCTTCAGGTTTTTATCAATCATTTTATTCCGTGTTTTATTTTGAAGAGAAAATAATCACCACCCTACATATCGTTGTGTTTTAGATTGATGGAGCAATTCTTCTATATTAATATAAACTTTATGTAGAATATATCCTTGATATAAATAAATAGAAACTATCCTTGGTAGAAACTATCTGTTAGTAGAAACTATCCTTGGTAGAAACTATATGTTAGTAGAAACTATCCTTGGTAGAAACTATCTGCTAGTAGAAACTATCCTTGGTAGAAACTATCTGTTAGTAGAAACTATCTGTTAGTAGAAACTATCCTTGGTAGAAACTATCCTTAGTAGAAACTATCTGTTAGTAGAAACTATCTGTTAGTAGAAACTATCTGTTAGTAGAAACTATCTGTTAGTAGAAACTATCTGTTAGTAGAAATTATCTGTGTTAGTATAAACTATCTGTTAGTAGAAACTATCTGTTGGTAGAAACTATCTGTTAGTAGAAACTATCTGTTAGTAGAAACTATCTGTTAGTAGAAACTATCTGTTAATCTGTTAGTAGAAACTATCTTGATATCAATTGTTATGGATATAAAATTAGCAACTTAGAAAAAAACAGTTGATTCGTAAATAAACTTATTTAAAATGATAAACATACCAATTATATTGAAGATAGCAATGTTGCCTCTTACAAGGGACTTTACACACGTGAAAACTAGAAAGAGGAAGTTAGGTCAACCAAGCATAAGCTTTTTCACTCTATACAATTTTAGCAACATTCAGTATTCAGCATTATGTTAAAACATCATGTTCAGTATTCAGCATTTTGTTTAAAATTATGTTCAGTATTCAGCATTATGTTTAAAACATCATGTTCAGTATTCAGCATTTATGTTTAAAACATCATGTTCAGTGTTCAGCTTTATGTTTAAAACATCATGTTCAGTATTCAGCATTTTGTTTAAAATTATGTTCAGTATTCAGCTTTATGTTTAAAACATCATGTTCAGTATTCAGCATTTATGTTTAAAACATCATGTTCAGTGTTCAGCATTATGTTGAAAGTATGTAGAATTGTAATCGGTTTATTATAAACACCCAGTAATATTATCAATAAATACCAGAGACAGAATAGTGTGACTGTCATTTAAATCATCTTAACATCATCTTACAACTTAACGATAACATAGTAAAACAGTTGGTCATGATAGAAGGCTTACATTACCTGAAAAAAGACAATAAAATATAAGATTAATTTCTGATACCAGTCAACAAAGATTTACAATGGAAATATCATTTCAAGGAATTTTTAAACTAAAGTGAAACTGTTTGATAAGTATTTCTTTTTTGTCGCAAGGTGATTTTAAATCATAGGTTATTATTTGGCGAATATTTGTTCACTATTTGTATATTGTATATTTACAATAACCACGAGATATGTAAAGAATTCATTCCATGTCTACCTCGTTGATTTTGTTGGCATTCTGAGTAATCGATGACCGTTCTGATGTGTTTTTCGTTTTCTACTTATGACAAGAAAAAAATAATATTTCCAACATACCGAATAAAAAATATCTGAAATTTTAAGAGATGATTTTCATGTAATAATTTGTAGAGTTTGTTTAATCCAGTCACAATTATTATCTTATTTGTTCCCATTCTTCAACCAATATTTTATTTTAAACTATCACTGATACTTTTCAACATGCTCAACAAAATCTCATTATTTTAAATAAGATAACTATAAGATAGCCTGGCTGCCAGGATAAAATGTAGAATATTATTGATAGAAATCGTTTCTGGAGTTTTTTGTTAAAGAATATGTTCAGAAAGAAACCAATTTAAATTGTGTCATGCGATAGAGTATTATCTAACCTTGTTCAAAATTTAATACTACTGCAACCATCTCAATGTTATAGTCGATTTTATTGATACAAAAATTAATTAGATTTTTAGAATCAGTTTGAATGTAACAGTTTAGGAGATATAAGTATATTACAAGATAGTAGACAGATAACTAACAGATAAATATTATTTTTTAAATATTCCATACTTAAAGTACTATTTTATAACCATGTAATATATAAAGAAAAACATTTTTACTCCCTTTTTTAAATCCTAAACACAATATAGTTAAAATAAGATCTATGTACCTATGTAATTAAAATAAGATCTATGTACCTATGTAATTAAAATAAGATCTATGTACCTATGTAATTAAAATAAGATCTATGTACCTATGTAATTAAAATAAGATCTATGTACCTATGTAATTAAGATAAGATCTATATACCTATGTAGTTTTAACTATGGAAGATTTGATATTTATTCCCTCTCTTTATTCTTCACTGTTTTTATCTAAATAATTAGAATAAAAGAGAAAAGAAGATTTGTTAGAAAGATAATTATTAAGATTGAGATATTCATCCATATCAATTTACAGAATGTAATATTTCACTCAACGTTTAGAATTAATAATAAAATTCATTAAAAAGCCTCAAATCTATTAATTTGGTAAACTGAGTCGTAATGATCATTTAAAACAATGATACAGTTTTACAATCAACTATGAAATAACTTTAATAGGAAACTTAATATTTCAAATCGACAACCTAGATATCTTTATTGGAAATTTTATAGCCTTTTGTGATTCATTATACATTAAATACATTATTTACCCGTTTGGTTATTGTTTTAAAATTCCATCTGTATAATAAATAATTACAAATTGTATCATTTTTTTCATTATTTTTTTTATGTTTGATTGTTCTTTTCATTTAACATTGTACACTTATTAAAACAATTTCTTACTATTTCTGTTGAAATCCGATCTAAAAAAATATTTACTATCAACAGAAAGGATTTAACAACTTTTATGAAGTTATACAAATTATACCAATGATATTCTTATATTTCATTTTTTGTATATTTTCAGCATCACTCCAGAGAATGAGGTCAGCATCACCAGTTTTAAGATCACCAATAGGTTCTCCACCAATGTCGAAAACACCAACTAGACGTGATGTAGACATGTCTTCATCAGACGAATCTAACTCTTCACCCAAATTTTTAATACGCGACACGTCGTCCCCAGGTGGAGATTCTGATAAAATGGACCATGATGATCTGGACCATGATAATGATGACGATGATGATGAGAAAAGAAAACAAAGAAAAAAGAAAACAAGGACTGTATTTTCTCGAAGTCAGGTTTTTCAATTAGAATCAACATTTGATATGAAGAGATATTTGTCGAGTTCGGAACGAGCTGGTTTAGCAGCTTCATTACATTTAACAGAAACACAAGTCAAAATCTGGTTTCAAAATCGCAGAAATAAATGGAAACGACAACTTGCAGCAGAAATGGAAGCCGCTAATATGTCACAAAGAGCATCACATCGTATGGTTCGAGTTCCAGTTTTATATCACGATAGTAATTTCTCATCCAATCATCGATCAGAAAATATTCACCGCGGATCACCTCCACCATTATCCAATCAAATTTGTTATCCCCATTATCCCCATATTTCTTCATTACGATCTCTACATGGTACAGTTTGAAGATAGATAAGATATATATATGGTAGAGCGTTATACTGGAAATAAATTGTGGCAAGGGTTGGCGAGGCTCATCTTGTCATCAGTTTATAGATGCCCAGTTGATATCGATATGCTATTTTGGTGCAGCAAGAGACGGGAATTTATTCAGAGACCCACTGTGATAAACTGTGACTGCTAGAAGCTGACAGAAACTGAAAACTGAAGTTTACTAGATGTGTTGTTTTAATACTGAAGTTAAAGTACTATCAATTGTCTTTGTGCAATCGAGTGCTGAACAATTATTTCAAGTACGAAAGGCGGATGGTTCCGATAGATTTTGTGTCGATTAAACTGAATTGAATATTTATTGTGGGTTCCGTCTGTTAATTGATTATTATTGATGGATTCGAGAGCTTGTCTTTATCTGATATTGTCATTAAATAGAAACATTTTATTGTGGCTAGACCTACACAACGTATAATGGCAGTTCATATTCTAGCTTATATAATATCAACATTCCTGCTTTCTATCACAGCTTTATTTTCTTATTTATCCAGGCTTCACACATTCATAGAATTATGTGCTCACAGATCTACGCAATCGTGTAATGTAACTGGATATCACGGTTACTTCTACATTCCCTAGGCCATAAATAACTGTTCTTGATTGACTTGATAGTAGATTTATTAGGAAACAACTTCACAAGAAAAATATTCTATATATAACTATATATTACAATCATGTAACTTATTAATGTTAGTAACAATTACAAATCCAAACATTAAAGATACATAGCTTCTGTATGTGTTCAACTTCCAATGTGACTGAAAGCGTCTAAATTCTTTTGAACAAATTATTTATTAGCAAAAACAGTTAATGAATCATATCATACCAATATGCATCAAAATTCTTAAAATATGAATTGAACCTCAATTCTTACATCTTCGTGATAATTCAGAAACTACTTGAAACCAAAATTCAAAATGTATCAGGGAAGATGATGATATCTGATACCAAACACTCTTTTTAAAAAAAAAGATTCCATAATATGGTTGTAACATTAATGATTATAAAAATAAATTGATATTTTGTTATTGTAAATGTCTCTGATTTATAAATATATAATGTATAAAGATTATAAATATTTTCTCAAATTTAAATAATAATAATAATAATAATATATAAATCTGTATGAAAACATACCCCCAGTTTTTATTTTCTGTATATTTTTACTTCGTGCAATCAAAATTCCTTGTTATTTTTTGTGATCGTAAATATTTTGTGTTAATCGTTAAATGTCATTGAAACAAATCAAAATATAAAATATTAAATATCATCACAGTATTGTTTGTATATTATATATTAATTCGAGATTCCAAACCCAGGCTCTAGGATATCCTAAGATCACATCTTCTAGCCTTGATTCTAGGACATCCTAGCGCTAAGATCGCTTTGAGAATACGTGGCCAGGAATCTTGAATTAAAGTGAGCATGTTTTGCCTCCGTTACCGGCGTACAATACGATAATAATTGTATTGGAGCTAAAATTTTGCATTGCTGAGTCTAGAGGTGAATAAGCGTATTTAAAAACCATATCATTCATGCAAACTGGTTATTATCTAGACAGATAGCTATCTATTCGTACTGGCTCGGACGATATATAAATTATTTCCAATCCACATTTCTCCTGAATCTGAAATGGAAAAATAAGGTTATATTCCATAAAAATTATTACAAGTCCTAAAATCTTAGAAAATCGATAAAAACGACGATGGTGCTACTGTCAAGATAGAATTTTACCATTGACAAAATCGTAGTCTAACCTAATGCTTATAAATGTACAGACAAAAATAAATTAGAAAACCAGGATGATATTAGAAAAAAAAATACATCGCTGCAGTATTTCAATATCATGTCATATCTGAAGTAGAAATCAGCCAATTTCAGACATGAAGATGAAGCCTCACGTCTATATTATGTAATATGATGTAGATATATGTGTCAGAAATATACATAAATTATTATAATATCCATAATATACAATATCCATATAGTGATTCATAAAAGTGTGTCATACAGGATGGGATGTGTCGTACGGATTCTTAAAATGTTTCAAATGATATAAAGAAAAACAGAGTGCGATTTTCAGATGCGCAGAAAGTCCCTTGCGTAATATCGTACGATATATCTACAGTCTTTAGTAATTTAGCCTGAGGCCAGTCGATCTGAGTCTAAAATGCCTGAAATACATCTGTGGAAATGGGAGCAATATCTTCTACGTTTTAACCAAAAACAAAGCGATTGTTTAGCAATAAATGAAAATTCAGGTCACACTGCCCTGGAAAGTGCCCTCAATATCTAAAACCTGTAATTAACCTGGGGCAGGAAGAACTCATTAGAAATAGGCAATGATTATAATATATTCTGCGTTCTATCAAGTTTAATGATATTTTCTAACCTACTGACTTGTATTTTAAATTACAAAACTAGTAAATCTATAACTTTATATTCATTATGATAGAGAAATCAAAGCAAATCATTCTATTTTGATAAGAAAGTCTACATCAAATATTATTTACAAGTTATTTGGCAGAATGTATGGCTCTTAAAGGCTTTGCCGCCATTCGAGTCAATTTGCTAAATGTAATTCAGAAATGATAAAGAGTTTTCAGTCGTATTTCTGTAACTGATATGATTTCTCTTGTGTTCGATTTTCAGGGGTGTAAAAAAAATGAAGGTATGATCTTAAAACTTGCCGGGACTGAATCATGGACTTTCAGGTTAGGAAATAAGCGCCTAACTCGCCAAATCATCGCGAAATGAGTTACATCCCTATTGCAAATTTTATTACCGGACTCTCGTAGTGGTGTGATACATTTATCGAAAGTGTGGAATAATGAACCCCTCTGTTCTGAAACTTGCGACTTGTCAGATTTATGAGAGTTGAAAGCTAACATCCATAGACTCTTGCGTTATATTTACACCTTTCTCTCTCGAATAGTAGGAACCAGTCTCAATCAGACGCACTGAGTTGGACTCAGTAAACTGCATTTCATATCATGGATATTTATAAACGAAGACAGTCGGTGGATCAAGTAAGAAGTTGGCGTAGGTACTTGACGGACACCAAATCTAGCTGTAAGTGTAAGTAACAATACATGCAAAAAATCAATCCAATATAAAAGGCAGTATTTGAAGATAACTTATTTTTTTCGTCGTGATATAGAAATATCCACCTATTCCAATCGGAATTCTTTACATAATCATGATATTCATCCTACTGTCCAATATATCAGAAGGTATGGCCTTTTCTGAGTTATGTAAATCAAACGTAGACAAATGTCGAATATAAACATTCGCATGTAGGGAAACAACAACTTCGTCCTCGTCAAGAACATTCCCGAAATGTGAAAGATATTACAAATCCAAGAAATAAAAATCCACCTCACAAGATCACAAATAGACATGTAAAAACTAACAGGGGAAGATAAGAAGAATAAGAATAACAGGGACAACATTCTTATACAATAATTTGTAGTCTGTGTAATGTTTTTAAACGGATCTAACTTGTTCCTAATGCATTATGTAAAAATGTATAAACATTAGGTAAGATGAACTTCTTGCAGGTTTTCTGATTGGTCAGTTACAGAAATTAAATGTTAGTTAATTTATCATATTGCATTGTCACCAAAAATAAAAATCTGATCTGAATTTTAGAAATATACTGTCTTCTCATATATATAGTTTTTGTGTTTGCATTTGGTCGTCAACCTCATTATTATTAATACGAGTTAAAAATGTAGATCAGTATAAAAAGCATGAAATGAACCGTCTTGGATGATCCAAAATAGTCTTCACAATTGTTCATTTTTTCATTGATTTTTGTAAAATTGTTATAAATTATTTTGACCTTTTTAAATAATATCGGATAATAGAACTACCACTTTCTTTAATTTCACTTTTTTCTTTTAACATTAAAACCTGAACTACAGACAAATTTAAAACCATTTGGAGCTGGAATTTGTTTAATATTTTTTGTTGTAAATAATTGTCGTCTGTCTATAATCCAATTACATCGTGTCAAATACACTTCAAATTTTCTCAAGACATCATAAAACGATGTACTCAAATAAAAAACATAATTGCCGTAACTATCGTCTGTACGCTGCAAATATTATGGGTCAATTTTCTTTTCAAATTAAGCTTCAATTTTGAGCAATTTAAAACCCAATTATTGTAATTTTCTTACAGAGAAATGTCGACAACATTCACTAACTAATCACCCCTTTTAAAATAAAGTGCCTTTCGTTTAAGTTGAACAAATTCCTCACAGCTATGTCGCATGTTTTAAGAATTCTGTCTCCTTTCTTCTCTTTTGACATAAAAAATTAATATTTCTGAAAAAATCTGATTTCATTACATCTCATGAAGATAACAATGGTTCGACTAAATGAAATATAATATTTAGATACACAAACATCTTAATATAATATAGTGCTACTGGAGATCGTGACAGTCTTTATACTTCAGATTAAATTGATACAGGACGATTCGTGGTACCGGAGCAGAATTCCGAAAATCGCCACGAAAATGACTATGATATAAAATTGAGTTGTATTTAGCAGAAATAAAACAAGCTACATAATTATAAAAGGACAGAACTGTTGACTTACTGTTAAACAATGTATTTTATATAATAAATATATACCTTTACTTGATAGTTTGTAATTAAAATCACTTTAAACCCACTGGTAATTTTTTTCTCAGCCACAGACAAAAGAATTTGGTTCACGTGGTTTGGAATTTGACCAAATGTCAAGAGAGAATGACATGGAACGGACGAG